TTGGGGGTTGCGCTTAGTTTCAAGTGAACGCTCAAAATAAATTATTTGGGTAACACTTTACAATAATTTACTAACACTTTAATACCTTTTAACGTTAACTAATGGAACCTTATTGTAAAATCTTACAATTATTTGTTATTAAAGCATATACGTTCACAAAAACACTTGAATTAAACAGAAAAGCAAGCAGGTGTATGATTTATTATTTGATACAAATAATTAATAACCGTTTCCTTACCTAAATCCTGCATTTGGACCAGGCTAGGTTGCAGAATCACATCACTTTGTGCTTCTGAAATTATTATCTTTTTCTATACAGTATAGTGTAGTAGTTAGCTATCTCTATGTGGCAGTTTGTCAAGCATGAAAAACACACGTTTTATTTAAATTCTGAATATATTATCGTATAGCATGCAAAGAGCGATGCCTTTAAATTTATTAAAAACTGTCACTCATTCATCACGATCTCACAAAGTCCCGTTTTAACCAATTAATGTGACCACACAATGAAACTTTTTTTAATGAAGTTACGAGCATGATAGAACTCAACGCTGGACAAAAAGAGGTGAGTGCGTGGATTCCAACCTAAACACATCTGATTGGCCATTGCGTGGTAGAAATCAACAAACATGTCTGTGATTGGCTACTTTGCTCCCCTCTGCGAAAATGCATTGTAAAATCATTTGACGCTTTCCAAAACAGAAGGGCAGATACACTGGATTGTTTGCCAAATCTATTTTGTTATGCTATTATTACGAAGAAAACAGATCCTAGACCAGGGGGTATGGGCAGTTTTTCCATCGAAAAGCAATCAGAAGCAACAGCAGGCAGTTGTATTATACATGCGAAACTAAAGCCCGGCCATCCCCCTCGGTCCGGAGGCGGGGCACAGAGATGTCCGTGGTGGGGCAAAGCCCCCGCCGGCCCCCCCTCTGGCGCCGGGCCTGTGTGATAATCAAGTAAATCATAAAAATGTCAAATAAATGTTTTCCAAATAAAATAAATGAAAATCAAACACATTTAAAGACTGAATGTTTGATTAATTTAGCTGCATGTTATGATTCATGTATGATCTTCAGCTCATGTGAAGGAGGGTTACATCGGGACAGCAGTGTGAATGTCTCCTGTGGAGCTCACATACTCTCATGTACTCTCAGATACTCTCATATACGCTCATGCATGCTCAAATACTTTCAGATACACTCAGATACACTCATAAATGTTCACATACTCTCAGATACTCTCAGATACGCTCATATACACTCATATACTCTCACATACTCTCACATACTCTCAGATACGCTCGTATACGCTCATGTACTCTCAGTTACTCTCAGATACAGATACGCTCACATACTCTCAGATACAGATACGCTCACATACTCTCAGATATGCTCACATACTCTCAGATACTCTCAGATATGCTAACATACTCTCAGGTACTCTCAGATATGCTCACATACTCTCACATACTCTCAGATATGCTCACATACTCTCAGATACTCTCAGATATGCTCACATACTCTCAGATACTCTCAGATATGCTCACATACTCTCAGATACTCTCAGATATGCTCACATACTCTCA